GGTGTACTCACTGGCTGAGCGTGGTGCAGACCACACCGTGCCAAGGGTTGCAATCCCCTTACCAGTCAAAAAAAAAAAAAAATCAACATTTAATATTGTTATGGTTAAAGGGCATACTCTGTATGTTTTCAGTACTTTGGAGTTTATTGAGACTTGTTGCCCATCATATGGTCTACCTTAGTGAATGTTCCATATTCACTTGAAAAGAGTATGTTTTCTGCTGTTATTAGGTACAGTGTTCTTTCTATAAATGTCAGTTAGGTCAAGTTGATAATGCTTCTTACATTTCTTTATTGACATTTTGATAACTTGTTGCTGATTGTTGTTCTATTTATGATTGAGAGAGGGTACTTAAAAATCTCCAAGTATTACTGTGAATTTGTTAATTTCTCCTTTTAAAAAGTTCTGTTCATTTCTGCATCATGTATTTTGAAGCTTTGTTATTAGGTACATGCATATTTAAGATTGCTATGTTGTTCTGAGGAATTGGCTCTTATCATTATTAAATGTCCCTCTTTATCCCTGTAATAGTCTTTTTCTTGAAGTCTACTTTGTCTACCAGTTTTCTCAAGCAGTATTTGCATAATGTATCTTTAAAAATTTTAATTGTGTCTTTATATTTAAAGTGCTTTTCTTATTCAGTGTATTGTTGGGTCTTGCTTTTTTTAAATCCAAATTAATAATCTATGCCTTTTAATTGGAGTTCATTTATACTTAATATAATTATTGATATGGTTGGGTTTAAATATGCCATCTTGGTATTTGTTTTCTCTCTCTTCCATCTGTTTTTAATTCCTCTGTTCTTCCTTTCCTGCCTTCTTTTGGGTGAATGTAATATTTTATACTATACCTCTTTGTGTTATTTCAAATAAAAATACTAATTATCCACACAGTTTCAAATAAAAATACTAATTATTCACAGATTATTATTATGCAAATAATATCTTAGTTAAACATGTGCTCAAGTTACAGTATGCAAAAGAGAATTAAGAGAGACTACATAAAAGGAATTGATCACTCTGGTGGCAGGAACTAACTTTCTCTATTAGAATTCTATTTGGGGCTGGCCCTGCCCTTCTCTCCTTTTCTCATTACAAAATGGACATGTGACCCAGTAAACCTTAAGCTAACGTAGTCATAACATAAAGCACATATTTGTTAATTACTGTAGTCAATATAACTGGAAGGCTGCCTGTATATAGTCACACTCTTCAGTCATTTACTTCTTCCTCACTGCTAGGATCTTAGGAGTCACCCTGGAAAATATGAAGTAATTTCCTTCCAGATAAATATGTCAGACAAAAATCATTTTTATGTAATCAGTCAAACAATTCTTGGGCATCTTGTTGCTGCCTCTAAAAGCTTGCAATTTAGTTGAGAAGGCATTTATATAATTATGTATTTGTCTATATTATTATATTCCATTATAAATTTATTATATATTTATATAATAAAGAAGATAAATAGCAACACAAGGTTGTATATAACTGTTACAGATAATAAGTAAATGAAATAGATAGAAATGCTTGTGTGGTTAGAGAACAGCTGCCTAAGCAGGAAAATTGCCACATGTTTAGGCCCTGGCCACACAGTGCTGTCTACAGGCTAGCAGCCTGCAAGACACACACTTCTCTAACATTTTCCTGAATTGCCTAATATTTAGTATGGTTTTGTCTTTTTGTCTCTGACTGTCTACAGAGATTCTTGGTCATTTGTAGTGATAGAAACTCTTGCCTTTTTTCTTGTTCTCGTCCTCTTCTATATATAGATAGATATAAATATGTATCACATGATTATTTGAAGGACTGAAATTTCATTGTGATTTGGCTTTCCTGGATAGGAAACATCATTTTACACTTTTTAGCAGAAATTGCCTCTCTTTCTAGGTGTAATCAGTTTCTACTCTTCAGCATACAGAAGATTTTATGGATAATATTCAATGCAGAAAGAGCTCTAAAAATAATTTTGCAACTAGGTCTTTGTTAGTCTTATGTGGAACACTGACAGGCGAAAAGAACAAAGGCACATCAGGGTAAAGGTAGTGGTAGGCGGAGCATTTCCTTTCATTTGCGTCCACCAAAGAGCTTGCACTTAGTGAAGAAAGGAAAACAAACAAGAAACAGGAGCATCCGCACTAGCTAATGAATGCTTCATTTCTGATCACTGTTAGTCACATTTGAGTATAACCATTACAGTCTTTTACATGTGTATAACTAAGTCCCCCTTTTGTTTTTCCAAAAAGAAAATTATGAATTTTATGTTTAAGAGTACAATGAGATGTTTTTAATATTCTGCATGTTGTTTTGGAATTCACAGTCTTTATACACATTCGTTTTCAGTAAGGTGAGTAAAGGGTGAACAGTAAATAACATTTCTATGCCTAATAGTCCCTCCAGTAGTCCCAAATGCATATTATGTACACACACCTTTTAGCATCTTCTACCTCACAGCTTACAGCATTTGGCTGAATATTGTGATGAACAACTGAAAAGCCAAGCAGTGTTACAATGGATTCTTATCAGAAAAAGTAAGCTCTTTAGAGTTTCTTTTTAATACTTTTCCATAAAGATTTTAAAGTGACATATTTGCCAGTACATAATTATATTCTTTAAATGTTCAAGTTATTCTTCCAGAAATGGGGATGGATTTGGACTAATCAACTGGTGATTTGCCTCTTGAGCTAGGATTTAAGCATGCTTTTTGTACAGGGAAATCTATTTTGCAATCATATTGCTGACTGTTCTTAAAAATACATGTATACAAGATTTTTAGAATTAAGAATTGCTGGTACCCTGTGTTAATACAGAATTGATTTATTTATGTGTCTTTCATATTATTCAGTTTAGCATGAAGAATGAGATTTAATAGGTTTATTTTCTTATTCTGCTACTACAGTTGGGCTTTTGGTCTAGTGATCATGAAATATTCCCTAGAAATATGTTTGTCTAGAATTCCCAAAACAAAATAATAAAATTATTATTATTTTTTTAATTTATTGAGTCATAATTGATTATACATATTTTGGGGGTTCAATGTTGAGATATGTTAATATTACTAGCATATATATTGTTACAAATCGTACTTATTCTTTATGCCCCTTGTCCAATCTCTCCATATCCCTCTCTACTTCCGCCTCCCACCTCTAATTGCCCTAGATTTCTTCTCCTTCTGAAAGAGTAATGGTTACTCTGTTGATTTGTTGCCTAGATGATCTGTCCAATGCTGAGAGGTGTGTTCAGGTGTCCCGATATTATTGTAGAGCAGATGCTTCTTCTGTCACTCTGGAATGGGCTTTGTGGAGAGAGACATCCTCTTCTTTTCTTTGGTCTCTGCTGGTGACTCTCCTTGTTTCAATGACTCCAGTGGCTGGTGGACCATCTGCATGGTGGTTGTAGCATCTAGCCACTTTCATAGCAGGCATGGTTATTGTGGTGGCTGTGGTGGGCCACCCACATGGAGGTGACGTTTTTGGCATACTCGTTGGTCTGGCAGTGTGTCAAGTTGTGGAATGGGGGGGTCCAGTCCCCAGCTCCTTATCTCAGGTCCCTAGGTGGGCCCCATGGCACTGGTGGCATGGCTGGTTGTGGGAGGGGGGTCTGGTCCCCACTCCATACCTTAGGTCCCTGGGAGGGCCCCAAGGCACTAGCAGGGTGCCTGGTTGTGGGAGGAAGGGCCCTGTCCCTGGATCCATGCCTCAGGATCCGGGGCAGACCCCAAGGCACTGGCGCGATGCCTGGTTGTGGGAGGGGAGTCTGGTCCTTGGATCCATGCCTCAGGTCCCCAGGTGGGCCCCGAGGCGCTGATGGTGTGCCTGGGCAGGAATTAATTTTTTGTCCTTTGCTTGCTTACTTCTAAAGTGGGGGAGTTTCCTCTTGGAACCAGTACTTGAGCTCTGGTTGAGCTAAATTGCTACTTTGTCGCTGCTTCCGTAGGGAAGGCTTTTTGTTCAGCTCAGGTTATAATGGTTGTCATTATAGGTACTTCTGGCTCTCCAGAGACCCAGTTCACCTGGGTTGTGTAGAAACTCTGATCTGGGACTAAATCTTTTCATCAACCTGCACCCCACACCATTCTATATTCCTGACCAGTCTCCTCTGAGTGGTCCTATGCTGATCAGGGGGCAAACCAGCTGTCCTTGCTGTGCCTAAGCATTCCCCAGTGGGCCCATTACCCCCACTGCCCATGCTCCAAACACTTTCCATGGGACAGGCTGTGTGCCAGTCCCTTGTGACGACTCACTGGCCTCTGAGTGGCTCCTTTTTTTTTAGTTGTTGTGGCTCCTCACTCCTATGTGGGTCCACAGGAACCTTATTAGTGGTCTTGCTGGCCTGGGGGCCTCCAAGGCCCTCTTCTCCCCTGCCGCCTCCAAGCAACTTCATCTGAAGGGCACAGCTGCAGCTTTTGCCAGCTCCTGCTCTGTGCACTCAGCAGCTCCTGCCTTAAAGCAGCCATGGCACGAGATGGTTGGAGCAGTTTTTTTCTTTCTCTCATCATGGCTTCTCCCACCTTTCTGCACTCCATAGGTCTCTCCTCCTCTTCCCCTGAGCTCTAGCAGCCCCATCTTGGCTGTTGTTGCTTTTTTATCGTTGTAAATTGGTTGGTTTGTGGGAGAAAGTGATGCTGGGTACTGTCTATTCCGCCATCATAACTGGAAGCCCTAAAATCACTTTTTAAAAACTGTCTTTAATATATAAAATTCAGGTTCTATGATTACATCCTTCAGCCATTTGCTAAAAATTAAATAAGCAAATACCAAACAAAACAAAGTTAGCCAAAGCTGTGGCTTATGAAGAATACCAGCCAATGTTGCCCACCCTAAGTATTCCTTTTCCCTCTCTTGGCCTGAAAATACTTTAGAAAAGAAGCTATTTGCCCATCTTTCATTTATTTTTCATGTCCTTTCTCAGGTTGTAAACCTTTTGGACCAGATTTTGGTTATTAGATAAACAATACGCTCTTTAATCCATATTGACTAAAATTAATCATTTATAACTTTCCAGGTACTGCTTAGGATGAATGTGATTTGGAGAAATTCTGTTTCCTGTCTAAGGCTAGGAAGAATGCCTCACAGATACCAAAGTGGTTACCACCCAGTGACCCCTCTGGGATCAAGGATTTTAACTGATCCAGCCAAAGTTTTTGAACACAATATGTGGTGAGTTTTCTCTTTAGGTCTGATATTAAGTATGCATCTTAAATATCACCAGTGGTATTATTTTCATTTAGTACCAAGCAAGAATTTTTAAAGCTGGTAACCTAACTTATATTGTAGAGGTCCAAAAGCCAAGATAACCAATCCTGATTTGTGTTGCCAATTCTGAATTTCTTTGCAAGTGGAATTGGAAAAGTGGAACTTCCTAAAGAGCTTTTAGCAGCTTTGGAGTTCTTACAGGCCCTGCCTGCTTATTTCTGATCCTGATTTGCCAGCATATTACTGGGTGGGGGTAAGGTGTTCTTTTCTGGGTGAGGCCCTCTTCTTGCCTCACCGACCCTTCCCTCTTTTACAAATACTTGTCAATCAGCAAATGTGTTCAGTATCTGCTGCTTACTGAGTACTAGGGAGAATATATTTGTATGAACCCTAGTTCACACTTTCAGAAAATCCACACTATTTGAGAAGATATATATATATTTACAGGAAAAGTTGATAATTAGCAATACAAGTCAGCAAATTTTAAGGGCCTAATGAGTGTTACAGACTATATGCTGTATAAGAACAGCTCAATACTGTAAAACCACTTCTGTTTGGACATAGGAAGATTTCTTAAAGAGGAGGAAACTAAGATTAATATTATTTATTCTGCCCCTAGTGCCTTAGCGTAGTACCTGACACATAAATATGTGTTGAATAATGATCTGGATAAGTAAGGCTGGAGTAAGGGCATTCTAGGTCGGTAGAAAGTCAAAACACCGAGATGAGGAAGTATAAGCTATCTTCAGGAGACAATACAAAGGATAGTTTGCCTAAAAAAGGGCTCTTCTAGGAGATTGCTGAAAGATAAGGTTGGAATGATATAAACCAGATGTGGGGGTGGGATTAAGATTGCACGTGGTCCTTTATAACTCAAGTATAAGGCATTACAGAGCCACTAAAGAAAAATGACATTACACATAGTGTATTAAGTATATGTATTTGGTAACAATATACTGAACAGATCAGCAGGGAGAATTAGAAGCAGGAAATGGCCAATGAAAGAGAGATTGCGAAGTAGGAATAAATAGAATTTGGTGCTTTTGCAGAATAAAGGAAAAGGAAGAATTTGACTCTGAAGTTTTGCTCTGAGGTGACTGATAGAAACAGGAAAATCAAGAGGTAAATTGATTTTTCATTTTGGAAGAAAAATAGTTAATTTAGTTTTAGACATTTTGAATAGACTTTGAAAACAGGGCATTCAGGTAAAAATGTCCAGATCACAGATACTGCTGTGGGAAGTGGGAGAGGCATTGGGGGCGGGCTCAGGTCTGAAAATCAAAAGTTGGGTATGAGATCTACAGACAAAATTGTTATCAGACTGGCAGGGTCTCTCACTCTGGGAAAGTGACTAATGGACTTTTTAATGTTTTTATTACAACAGAATATCAATTTTAAAAGGAAATACATTGATCCTTTATTAATTAGTCCTCTACTGCATAGTATGGTAGCCACTAGCTACATGTGGTTACTGAACACGTGAAATGTGGTTAGTCTGAATTGAGATGACCTGTAAGATTTTGAAGACTTGCTATAGAATAATAAGGTAAAATATCTCATTAATAATTTTTATATTGAATCACATATTGAAATAAATGGAATTATGGATATATTGAGTTAAATAAACTGCTTAGGTCAGTTGATTAGAGCATGGCCTTGTAACACCAAGGTCAAAGGTGAAATTAAAATTAATTTCATCTCTTTATTTTCATTCTTTTTTTAAGTGTGGCTACTAGAAATTTTTATTTGTCTTTTTTGGCAGCTGGCCAGTTTGGGGATACAAACTCATGACCTTGGTGTTATAAGGCTGTGCTCTAACTAACTGATAGAAATTTTTAAATTACACATGTGGCTCACATTTTATTTCTTTGGACAGCTGCTGTATTAAACCATTTTGACTACCATCATCAATATGTACAGTTATTGTAGGCTGTGAGATAAAATGGGCCCTTTGCCAGGCAATTAAATCTCCAGAGGAACTTCCGGTTCTAGCCAATTTTTTTTTTCATTAGACCCTAGTGATTTAGCTGTCTACATTTTTTTTCCATCTGCTACCAGCTCCTCTTTTGCCTGAGATTCTTGCCTACTAATTTAAATTCTGGTTTGTCATAGACTCTCAGGAAAGCAAAGTCCTCTGGTCTAGCGCTTCTCAAACCCTGTGGGCTAGCTCTGGCTGGCTACACGAGAATCCCTCCAGGAGGTACTATTTCTTTAGGTCTAGAGGTGGGCCCAGGGATTTTTAACTTGAAAGCACTTTCAGTAATTCTGTTGAGCCATCAGGTTTGGGAATCTTTGATCCAGTCCAGTGGTTTTCAAACTTTTCTTTAGCAGCAGAATTTTTTCAAGTAAAGTTTTAACATGGAATCCCAATAATGAAAAGATAAGGGCAAATCTGCCCTGAATGAAGCAGATGTAGAGGCCTGGGGTATCAGCAGCTTCATTTCCTTGTCCTCTCCCACTTCTCCTCTTTACTCAAGCAGCCTAGAGGACCTTTAGGGCTCTATTGGTCGCAGTTTGGAAAACCATGATCTAGTCTACACAGTCATCCTCCTCCATAGCACACACCCCAAAGGGGTTAGTGATCCAGCCCACACCTGGATACCTCTAGTGATTTTTCTTCAAGGGAAAAGGAAGGTATTTGCTTCAGATCATCTCCTCACACACCCTTTTCTTTCTTTCTTTCTTTTTTCTTAAAGAGATTTGTAAGTTAAACTAAAAACTTAGTATGTTCTCAAACTTTTGGTTTGTTCTCCCCTTCCTTCAAGTGCAAAGATTCTCACTTCCTTCCTTATATTCTCTTTTATATTTAAGAATAACATTTCCTCTTTTGCTGAATTTTATTTTTTAAAGATGTTCAAGAAAAGTACTTGTCAGTTTTCTCTCAGATGTTGCTCTGAATGGTCTACAGTTCATTTTTCCCTTTAGCCTCTAGTTAGTACAGACGATTTACTCTACATAGGACCCTCTTTAAAAAATTCTAATATCCTGGATTCTGGATATTTGTATTACTAGTACTTACATCTGCATATAGTCTTTTATTTTTTATTTATTTTTTGTCTGTTTTTTGCAGCTGGCCGGTACAGGGAACTGAACCTTTGACCTTGGTGTTACAAGGCCGTGCTCTAATCAGCTGAGCTAATCAGCCAGCCCAAGTCTATCTTGACAATTTAGTAAAGTGAAATTCACATTACATTACATAAAATTAACCATTTTAATGTAAACAATTCACTGGTATTAATTACATTCATAATTTTGTACCTTTATCTAGTTCCAAAACATTTCCATCATTCCAAAATAAAACCCCTTATCCATGAAGCAGTTTATTCCCGCCACTTAGTCCCCCAGCATCTCGCAATCACTAATCTGTGTTCTGTCTCTATGGATTTACCTATTTTGGGTATTTCATATAAATGGAATCATACAATATGATATATGTGCCTGGCTTTCACTTAGCAAAATGCCTTGGAGGTTCCTTTACCTTGTAGCATGTATTGGTACTTCATTCCTTTTTTATGGCTGAATAATATTCCATTGTTTGCTGCAGTTGGTTTATCCATTCATCCACTGACGGACATGTGGGCTGTCCACCTTTTGGCTCTTGTGAATAGTGCTGCTATGAACATGTGTCTACATGTACTTGTTTGAGTCTCTGTTTTTAGTTCTTTGGGGTATAAACCTACAAGTGGAATTGTGGGCTGTCTGGAAATTCTATTTTTAGCTTTTTGAGAAACTGTCAAATTGTTTTCTATGGTGGCTGAACCATTTTACATGCCTGTTATTTAATTATACTTAGTGTATTTATCAGTTCTGGGGAGTACTGACAGGAAATGATACTCAAAATGCTCTTGGGACATGGCCCAGTGATCTGACTATATTGAGCAACTTACGCAGTTAGCTGGAAAAATCATTCCTCTTTCCACACTGTTGCTGGTTTGAGTGTGTAAGAACTTTTCAAGGAATCTCTGAATTTTATAAGGAAGCAGTAAGCACTTGTAGTATCACATGACTACATCAGCTAGGTTAGTGGCATGATCTACAGTAAGGAGTACAGTTTACGTCATGGACCAGTACATGTATACATAAAATATACACATATATCAAACAGGAACAAAAGTTTCCAGTATTTTTACCAAGTAAGATATGCACTGGTATTTTCCATTTGTTCTTTTCTGCTGTTTCTTTTTCTTTCTAAGTGTTGATTAGCCTAAATTGATTTCTTGACTCACTAAAGTGTTATGATCTTTAGGTTAAAAAATCACTGAGCTAAGCCATTCTGTGTAGATCCAAGTAAGATGTGTACTTGTATATTGCAACATAACTTCTATTATATTACCCATTTAAAAAATAGACTGTTTCCAGAATCCCAGTAGGGTTCAGATATCAAGAATTCTTTCCTATTATATCATTTTCCTCATATAATCATTGTATTTATCATCTGGGAAGTCCAAAGTCCAGGGAACACATCTGGTGAGGATCTTCCTTGGTGGTGGCTTCAGCAACATAGGGTATCACATTGCAAGATGGCAGGAGCAGAGAGAGAGTCTCTCATGTGGTCTTCTCTTTTTTTTTTTTTGTCTTTTTTTTGACCGGTAAGGGGATCGCAACCCTCGGCTTGTTGTTGCCTGCCCCGCGCTCAGCCAGTGAGCGCACCGGCCATCCCTATATAGGATCCGAACCCGCGGCGGGAGCGCCACTGCGCTCCCAGCGCTGCACTGTCCTGAGTGCGCCACGGGCTCAGCCCTCATACATAGTTTTTTAATAGAGTTAATCAATAAGTATTTTCTTTGGCTATCTCCATTGTGACATTTGTCATGAGAGGCAGTATATTCTAGATGTTGAGAGCACAGTCTTAATGGTTGTCTAACCTTGGAAAGTTACTTAATCTCTCTGTGCCTCAGTTTACTCATCTGTAAGATGAGGTAATAGTAATATCTACTTCCTAGGATGTTATAAGGATTCAGTGA